TGCTAAAAGGCGCATTCACATTCCCAGGAAGAAGGCTGACCCGGCCAGGCCCCTGCGGCCTGCAGATCCCCGATCCCGGGCTGCTCCGGTCTCCGGGCAATACTGGGCCTTTTTGTTCCTAGCGGCCTCACCGACCCCTGCCTGCCTCCTCGCGCGGTGGTCTTTCTTCGCAGCCCCCTCGCGCTTGCACCCGCGCCCCACCTACAGACCGCCTGCCTGCCTGCCTGCCTGGCGCGCGGGCTCCCGGCGGGGTTTGGGGCAGGGCGGCCTTCGTGAAGGACTCACAGAAATGTTGGCAGTTTGAGGCCTTCAGGCCTAAATCCCCCCAGCTGCTTCACATAGCTCACAACTTAGGCAAAGAGAGAGACGAGCAGGAGCCCTCCATTTGGGACTCCACCACGCGCCTGGAACTGCACATCGTGTCCTCTTACTAATCCTCACGGAGGCCCTGCAGGGATGTGCAGGGCAGGGGGAGCCAAGGCTCCGAGAGATTAAGGATATTACAGCTGGGCAGCGGCAGAGTTTACACAGCAGAAGTGAGGCCCTGGGCCCCACCCCCAGTCCCCCAAAAGCAAAACAAAAGGCTAATGAGGGTCTAGTATACAAGGTAGCCGAAGCCAAGATTTATTGTTCTGTTTTGAAGCACCCCTTTCCGCAAGCTATTACTTAATTTTCTTTTGCGATGCTGGTCATGGAATCCATGACCTTGCACATGCTATGTTTTGCCACTGAACCACACCTCCAGCCCCAAGAACTGCTCTTTGTCATCAGCCAGAAGGGGTCACCCTGCTCCCACATCTTTTCTAGAACCAACCACCTTTCCCTCACGTGGTGAGAGACTTCAGTCCACTGTTTTATTACTCTTAGGGGGACTCTTTTTTGGATGTGTGATTTCAGTGATGGAACCCAGGCCCTCATGCATGCTAGGCAAGCACTCACCAATGAGCTGCATCTCAGCATTTAAAAAAATTTTAGACAGGGCCCCTCTTGAGTTGCCTTAGGCGGGCCTTAAATGTGTTATCCTCTTGCCTCAGCCTCCGGAGTAGCTGGGATTAAGGATACACCACCACACATGACCTACTTCCCTTTTTGATAACCCTTATCACACCATCTATTTTTTTTTTTTTTTTTGGTACTGGAGATCGAACTCGGGTCCTTGACACCATCTATTGCAATCCCTTATCTCTCTCTCTGTGGATGGAAGGAAGCTACCTGAGTACAGGAACAATAACCTGACAATTACCTTAGCACCAAGACGAAATTCTTCGGTCTAGTTCCCAAGGTGCCAGGGTTCCCCAGGAACACCTTTGAAGACCACTGAACTAGTTATTGCTGGGAAATTAAATTAAGGCAAGAAGGAAACAGACACAATTGTAAAAACCCGACCCCTAATACTTCTGGCAGCTGGGCTAGGGATTTAGCTCAGTGGCACCGGGCCTGCCTCCCAAGCACAAGGTCCTGAGTTCAATCCCAGGTACCGAAAAACAAAACAACAACAACAAAAAACCAACAACAAAAAAACTTCTTCCAGTTTCTAGCTGTGGTGATGTACACCTGTAGTCCCAACTACTTGGGAAGCTGAGGCAGGACGATTCCTTGAGGCCATGTCAGGACCCCATCTCAAAAAAAAAAAAAAAATCTTGGCAATAATAATATTGGCTATCTTTTATTGAGTGCTCATTATATAACAGGGATTGTTCTAAGTATGTGAGTATCAGTGAATCACCTGGGGAATCTTGTTAAAATGCAAGTTTTGACTCAGTGTATCTGGGGTGGGGCCTGAGATGATGCATTTCTAACAGGCTCCCAGATCATACTTTGTACAACAAGGTTTTGGTGTATTCATTTATTTTAACCTCTTAGTGACCTATGAAGTTGGTTCATTTCACAGATGAAAAACCAAGAGGTTAAACCCCTGACATGTATTTATGTCAAAATAGTGGGCAGGGGTGTAGTTCAGTGGTACTGCACTTGCCTAGCATGTGTGAGGCCCCAAGTTTGGACCCCAGCACCACACACACACACCACACACACACATACAAATAAATAAATAAAAGGTAAATAAATAAAAGAATGAGTAATAATAGACTGCAGGGCATTGTGGGAAGGCAGGGTAATATAAGCAGTATACAGTTGCAGAAAAGGAGACATTTATAAAAAGCCTGGCATGAAGGGGGAAGTTGAAGGGGGCTGCACACAAGGGTGCCTCCCCTATTAGGGAAAATGTGTACAGTACCTAGGCTATGAGCAGTGCTGTGTGCACAGTACCTATGGCTATGAGCAGTGCTGTGTGCACTGTACCTAGGGCTATGAGCAATACTATGTACACAGTGCTTGGGGCTGTGAACTTTCAAAAGGTCTCAAGTATTTGAGATCTGAGAAAAAAATATTGGAACCTACATATGAACATTCAAAATAATAATTTCAAAATTAAAGTTATTTTTTAAAAAAATGTTTTCAAAATTTTCCATGAAAAAATCCATATTTAGTGAGGGATACGCATATATTTTACCAAATATGATAGAAAATGAGCTGGGCTTTGGCCATGTTGACTTGGACATCATCCTGAGGGTGCCTGGGAACAACTGAGAAATGCAGGGAAGGTTTCTCTGTGGCTACAGTGAGCAGAACGGATTGGAGGTGGGCCAGTCCTGAGGCCCAGCAGCTAGAGACCAGAGAGGCAGTTACCATCTTCCAGACTCAAAGAAAATCTCTCCTTAGTGCCAAGATTAGCATAAAATGATAGCATTATACAACCCAATTATCCTTTGATTTCTCCAGCACCAAGCTGACTCAGATTCTAAATTTACTTAAGATTTGGGGACAAGGGCTTGGCCAACTCCTTTTTTTTTAAGGCCAATGATGTTGCAGTCTCAGAGAGGGCATGTCAAGGGGCACACACTGAGTCAGACAGACATGGATTCGAATCTCAGCTTTACTGATAAAACTGACATAAACATCTGTCATGGAATTAAGAGAGATAAACTACATATACGGTACAGGGTGCAGGAGAGGTAACTTATGAATAAATCGTAGCTGTTATCATGTATGTGCCATTGTTGGGGACCTAGGCTAATTTTCTCTAGGAGGAAACAGAGTAGGGTGAATAATTGAATCTTATCAATCTGAGGTAAAAATGATTGGCCCCATTTTGAGTTGAGGAAACTAAGGCTCAGAGATTAGATAACAGCTCAGTAGATGAGGGGTAGACATGGTTAGTTTGCAAGAGCTAGGATTTTTATTTTGTTCTTATTTCTTATTTTTTTCGAGACAGGGTCTCACTATGCAGTTCAGGCTGGACTTGAACTCACTATGTAGCCCCCCCTCCGCTGGCCTCAAATTTGCAGTGATCCTCCTGCCTTGGCCTTCTGAGTGCTGCTGGGATTACAGAAGTGCGCCAACATGCCTTGCTCTTCTTTCTGCTTGTGCCTTCTCCCTTGCAGCTGGCATTTGCTGCTCCCACCAGTTTGTGATGGGTCCAAAACAACTCCCCTTAGTTGGTGCAGGTCAGTCGTTGTGGCCAACGGTGACACAAAGTACTCTCCTCTGGTGCCACCAAGCACCATTTCCCTTCTTCCCCAATCTCCCTGTTATCTCCTTGCCCCTTAACTTTACAGCCTCAGAATTTCCCTTGTCAAAGAGCTTGTCTTTTTGAGACTCAGACAGAACCACCCCGTCCTGGGGTGCCTTCCAGGGCACCTCCCTGTCAAGGGAGCAGATAAGTAGGTCACCATCGGGATCCTGGGAGAGGAAGCCAACTTCTTTGGGGAGGAGGAAAAATACTGCAGAGCACACAGAGAATGGGAAGCAAAATAACAGTCATAGTTCATCCGCACCCCACCCAGGCCCGTCTCCCCTCTGCAGTCCACTGTGGCTGTGGAAAGTGGAGGCAGCAGCAGCTCACTACAGGTTGGGAACACCGGTGAAGACTGTATTGGGCAGAAGGCTTCTGTCCTCCTTGCTCCCCTCCACCCAACCTGCCTCCTGTTCAGCTGCCCCACAGCACCCAGGCGGCACTGTTCTCTGCAAAGGGGCCTCTCAGCTTCAGCTTTGAAGCCTGCTCCCTGCTGACTGCTCCTCCAGGGCCATGATTGCCTGGGGCAGCAGGCCAGAATCCCATTTACCAAGACACTGTTGTGGCAACCAGGACAAATCACAGGCTTTGCAAGATTTAACCCCCCCACCCCCCACCCAGGGCTCTTTTGGCTACAGTTCACAACAGCGGGCGTGGATGAGCACCGTGAAAAACAGAGACAGGGAGAGGTGGAGTGTGGCAGTAAAGATCCAACACTACAACTCCGCCCTGCCCCACTGTCCCTGGGGACCGAGCCCCACTGGCCTCATAACATGGGGGCAGTCACATTTCTAGGAAACTGCAGCTGGAGGGGAAAGGTCCTGGCTGCGGGAGCAAGGTTGTGTACAACGTGCATCCCGGCAGATGACCAGTCCCCAGACTCCATGCCCACCCTGGGTCAAAGACAAGCACACAAAAACAAAAAGACCAAAGGCTGACCCTCGGACCTGGGAGTGACCAGACCCACTTCCCTGGATGGCGGCTGTGGAAATAGGGGAGTTCACCTCTGGAGAGGATGAGGTGGTTTCCACCCTCCTGGCTGGCAGCCCGGTGAACTTCCAGGCCAGAGTCCCTGAGTCAGGACATGAGGCTCAGAGGCGACAATCCAGGCTTTGGGGTGCAATGTTCCCAGCCTGACTTGTGTTTCCATACTGCCCCTTACCCTCCCTCCCCCTGTTCCCAAGACCCCTGGCAGAGTGTTCAGGGATCCTACACCCCTCTGTTCTGTAGAAGGGAATGTCCTCTCACCCCTCCAATGTCTGTGCTCAGGCGCCCTGGGGGGAAGCCCCACTCCTGTCTCGTCATCCTCTTCCCTCCTGCAGCTCACAGGAGAGACAGTGCTAGGTGACAGGAGAGAGACATCCATCTTCACCCAGCCCCTTCCTTATGCTTAATCTCTCTAGAGGGGTAGACCTGTCAAACACACCTTGTTCCCAGGCTGCAGTAATCCCGAGCCATCTCTCATCAGAGTGGGTGGAAACCCCAAGGTATGTGGCAGGCAAGTAGCAGCAGTGACAGCATGGCGGGGCATCGAAACCGAATAAGAAGTTTGGGCTTGTGAGGCTTAGATCCTTTGTGTTCTTGGAGAGCAATTGGCAGCTCCTCCTACCTGGCACCTGCCCCAGGCTGGGCCCCTTGGTTGGCCAGCATCTCCGCCTGCGCCTGGGTGGGCTGCCTTCCACAGGTCTAGCAGGTGCTAGCCCTCAGCTTGGTTAGGACTACTGGGAGGAAGGGGCTGGCCCTGAAGTTTCCATCTCCCCCAAGCATCAATTAGTCATGCATCTAAGCAGGGCTTCTGAAATTTAGTGTGCATCAGAATCACCAGGGCACTTGTTAAAATACAGCAGCCCACCCTTATCTCTGGGTGACATGTTCCAAGACCCTCAGGTGATGCCTGAAACCCCGTAGTGCTGTGTTTTCTTTTATCTTTTCACTTCCAGAAGCACTTCATGGCTTCTCTTTGGCATATCCATACTCCTACACTTTAAAAATATTCTGTAAAATAAGGGTTACTTGAACACAAGTACTGCAATACCACAATAGTCAATCTGATAACCAACATTGCTACTGTGTGACTAATGGCAAGTAGTGAAGACAGCATGGGGGTACTGGACAAGGGTGATTTACATTCCATGCAAAAAGGTATGAAGTTTCATCCCACTACTCAGAAAGGTGCACAATTGAAAACTTAGGAATTGTTTATTTCTAGAATTTGTCATTTAATATTTCTGGACCAGACTGACCTTGGATAACTGAAACCTTGGGAGTATCGTACAGATTAGGGGGTGCATACAGATTTCTCAGTCTCATCCCCAAGGTTTTGGGTTTGATAGGTCTGGAGTGGGGACTGCAGTTGCATTTCTAACAATTCCCCAATGACAGGTGGCTATCATTCCAGGGACCACATGTGAAAAACCAGTGAGCTAGCATATAGTAGAAAGAAATGCTAAGTTCAAGTCCCAGCCCTGCCACTTTCCAGATCTGTGATCTTGTACTTTGACTTCTCTGAGCTTCAGTTCCTGCCTTAAAAGTGCAGTGATGATCACTGGAGAGTTGAGAGGATTAGATTGCATCATAAATTTGAAAGACTCAATGTACATGGATATCAGGGCTGGGGTTGTAGTTCAGTGGTAAAGAATGTGGTCAGCATGTGCAAGGTCCTGGATTCAATCCCAACCACCACAAAAATAAATAGGTCAATAAACACACTATTTATTGAGTTTGTTTGTCTCCTATCAATTATTCTACCCAATGCTATGGGTGACTTTGGGCTGATCACACTTGAGGATTATAATTCCCGGGTAAACATCCCACATCTCTGGACTTCAGTTTTCTCCCCTGTAAAACAAAAGCTTTGGTCTGCCAGACTACTATGGTTTCTATCCAGATGTACCTCCAAACCTCATGTGCTCATAGGTGGGGCTTTTGGGAGGTTACTGGATGTGTGATACTGGATTAGTCCGCTGGTGGGTTTATAGCTGGGTGTGATGTTGGAAGATGAAGCCTAATGGGAAGAAGTGGGGCAGCCACCTCCCTTCAGTGCTCGCTGCTTCCTGCCTGCCATGCCATGGACTGTTTCTTCTCTGCCACACCCCTCTGCCATGCTGCCCTGTCTTTAAGGCAGCTGACTATGGACTGAAACCTTTAAAACTCTGAGCTAAAGTAAACCTCTTCTCTGTAACTTGGGCATGTCAGGTATTTTGTCCCAGCAATGAGAAAGTAACTAAGACACAGACTATTTCATGAGGGATGAACTGACCAGTGACTGGTTACTGATGTTGCTCTGCAGTGTCTGCTCAACTCTCACGTGAAGGTCTAGGAAAAAAATGTGGCTGTGACCTCCAAAACCTGACCCCTCCTCCCTGAGTCAGACTTCTACACAGGACCTGGAGGGGCTGTCATTTCATAGACGAAACTGAGTCTTTAAGGCCCATGGTGATCTGTTTCCAACCTCATTTATGGTCATATTTCCTTCCATTTCTCCTCTGTTCACCTTACACTCTACACAAGTTGGGCTCTTTGTCCTTCCCCAAAGAAGACTTACATCTCCCTGCCTCCTGCCTTTGTTCACATTCTCACCATCAGAATACTGTTGCCCCAGTTAAAGTCCTATTCAGGGAGAAAAATTTGCCAGCTATCCCTCAGATAGATGACTTATATCTGGAATATATAAAGAACTCCTCCAAAATAAATGACCCAGCAAAAAATGGGCAACTGAAATGAAAAGATACTTCTTCAAAAAATTATCAATGGCCAATATATACATGAAAAAATGTTCAACATCACTGACCATTAGAGAAATGCAAATTAAAGCAACACTGAGATTCCATCTTACCCCAGAAAAAATGGCTATCATCAAGAAATCAGATAAGAGGCTGGGGATGTAGCTCAGTGGCACTGTGCCTGCCTTGCAAGTACAAGGTCCTGAGTTCAATTCCTGGTATCAAAAAAAAAAAAAAAAAGAAATCAGATAACAGGAAATGCTGATAAGGCTAGGGGAAAGAAAGAACCTTTGTATATTATCAGTGGGAATGTAAATTAGTACAACCACTATGGAAATCAATATGGTGATTCCTAAAAAAAATAAAACTAGAAATTCCATTTGACCCAGCTATTCTCCTTCTAGGTATCTTCATGAAAGGGATAAAGATACTGTATCACAGTGATACACACATACTCATGTTTATAGCAGCATAATTCATAATAGTAAATCTGTACTAATGCAAACGTGTACTAATAAAAAGTTAAAAATGCCAGCATGGTAGCACCTGCTTGTAATCCCAGCATTTGGGAGGCTGAGACAGGAAGATTGCTGTGAGTTGCTGGCCAGACTCCGAATTTCATACCAAATCCTTCTATCCGTCGAGAAATCTAGTCTAATCTAATCTAATTTATCTCAATTGAATTTTATGTTTTCTTCAGTGATAATAGGCCATGCTAGTGGAACTATCAAGTATAAGACTGAAGTAAAATCTGGGGTGCCACCACCATACACCCTATTTGGATCTGATACAGTCTCTCTGTTCAGCCACACAGAGACGCAGGGTCTGCTAGATTATCCCTGGATAATACTATGTAAAGTTGGTTTGTGCTGCATGTTCAAATATGAAAAACAAGAGTTGTATTATGTAAAACTTCTATAAAGTGGGACAGTCACTGAAAAAGAGATGCCTACTTATATGCAAGATTAGTCAGCTATTTATTTTCTATGATAATTGGAGACAAGGATAAATATATTTATATATGTGCATATATATATATATATATATATATATATATGCATGCTATGGCCCAAATTTAGAAATCTATTCATTTGCATATAGACACACCTGCTTCTCTAACTTTCTTTTTTAAACTATAGGGGTTTTTTTTCTATTCTAAATATAGTATATGGGTTCATAGAAAATGTGCAAAGGAAATAAAAAATACAAAGAAAAGTAAAAGAAGAAAATGAGTCATGCATAAACCTATAATCCAGAAATAATCCATAAAAATTTTGGTATATTTCTTGTCAGTAGTTAAATATACATATTTATTCTATATGATTTTTGAAGGAATTCAAGATTAAAAGTTTATACAATTCTGTACTCGGGCTGGGGATTTAGCTCAGTGGTTCTGGCACCTGCCTCGCAAGTGCAAGGTCCCAAGTTCAATCCCCAGTACCAAAAAAAAAAACAAACCATGATACAATTCTGTACTCAAATTTTTGATAACATATGATTAGAATTTTGGTATTCCATTTATTTATTTATTTATTTATTTATTTATTTATTTATATTAGCGATCTATTAACTGCATAACTTTTGAATACCAGAGAAACTCCAATATGCATAAACCTGCATGAAATTCTCAGTTCCCAAACTTTGGTTATATGAATATGCCTCAAACACCACAGAAATTAATCCTAATTTAAAAAGAAAAAAGTCTTAAGAAACAAAAAAGCCCTTCAATTTTCTTTCATCTGTTTTCTTTACACTATAGGATGATAACTTGTTTTGTTCTACATTTCCTTTTCCCTGGGTCAATTTCCAAAAACAATGTGAATAAAAATTGATTTGGGGTGGGCCGGGATTTAGCTCAGGGGTTCCACCGCCTACCTCACAAGCTCAAGGTCCTGAGTTGAATCCCCAGTACCCCCCCCAAAAAAAAATTGATCAGGGGAAATAGGAGAGATAAAGTTCATGTCTCATGACAACTTCTGGAAATTAGCCTGTCTTAAATAAATAAAAAACTGTTTTAACCTAGGATATTTGTATTATGCAATATGTATGAAGAAAACTCCAATTCTTAGTTTTCAAAATTCAAAAGTTTAAACAACATGGAGCCTAAACAGGAATTGGAGGTGAAAGGCTGACAGGCAGACTTGCAACAAACCCCATGACAAAGATGCTTGGATTTCAGCTTCTTCCTGGGTTCACTGGCATTTGCTAGCTGCAGAAGCAATCTGCATAATATATAAGCATGAAGAAAGATCTGGCAGCTGAGCACCTTTTATGAGGTTTCACAAGAAAGCTAATGGGCAAAAGAAAAGTACAAAAACAAAAAACCAAAGACTGAAACAGAAAAAAATGGGAAGAAAACTAACCCTGTGTAAGTCAGGATGGAGAGGTCCCAGATGTCCAAACTGACAGCCTCCTGAGTGTTGGGATTATAGGCATGTGCCACCCTGCCTGGCTCCAATTTGTTTTCTGGAACTCCCATTTGAAAATACTTCCAAAGTCAGGTTCTGTTTGGCTACTTGGGAGGCTGAGGCAGGAGGATCACAAGTTTAAGGCCAGCCTGGGCACCTTAGTGCGACCTTGTATCAAAATAAATAACTGAAAAAAGACAAGACTTCCAGAGAAGCCTTCTGGTTCCTCATTCTGTATGTTCAGAGTGCAGAAACAAGGTGAAGCCAAACAGGCTGAAAAAAAGTCAACAATTGTTAGGAAAAAGGAAAAGAGGAAACAGAGGTAGGAGCTCAACAGGACAAGTTTATTGCAGAACAAACCGGAGAGGGA